GTTACGAAAATGCTAGGTATTAAAAACACCCATTTCCGTTGTGTAGATATGTTCATACTCTGCTGAAAAGTTGAAACATGAATAGAAAAAAAAATGAATACTAAAAACATTTGAAAATGTTTTATTATATAGCATTCACAAAAACTGCTGTAAATTGTTTTCTATTTTATTTTAGAAACTAACAATTACAAATGGCATATAAACTCTCTTGATATATTCATAATGTGAAGAATAAACTGAAAAATAAAAACATAATTTAAATGAGTTTGATTTGACATCCATAAACTTAAATACAATTAACGAGCTTTGACGTGATACTACTCTTTTTCCACTGATTAAAATCTAATGCATATAAAATCCATTTCAATTTGTGTTTGTGTAACGCTCATATTATGAGTAATTTTAAAATTACGTTGTACTATTTTTATTGATTATGTGAGGGTGGAATTGAAAAAAACAATTTTTTCAATGTGTATTTGTTTTTCGTTTATGGGGTAAGTTTTTTGAACAAAACTTGCTGAAGGAAGCACCCCCCCACCCGGCATTTTTTTACAAAACTCCAACCCCTCATTTTTTGATGTGTCGAGGAAAGCTAGTATAAAGATAAAAGATAGTGGTCATTCCATCATCAAAAAGCACTAATAAAAGTCAATTAACGGTATCGAACATAAACTTAACGCTGTTTATATTTTTCTGAAACATATTACAAAATGTCCTAAAAATATATAGCTTACATAAAGCTTGTTCATATTTGAAGACAAACACTTACACACAAGAAAATCAGAGACATGATTTTAATTATATTTTATTTCATTTAACATTGAATGGGGACAAGCGTGATTTTTACAACATATATTAGAAAAAATTAATTTATCAATAATTTATTGCAACAAAAATAACATAAGGTTTTGCTTCCATAGTAGAAAATTATTGTTGTCAAGAGCATCACCTCTATCTCATTGGTTAAACACACGAAATACACCTGTAAGGGTAGATAATAACAATATATTATTTTCAGATTTTTTTCGCTACATTAGAACAAACATATCACAATTTCATATTATTACTCAATCCTTCCGCCATTTACTTTCGCGGAAAGTTTTGCTATTTTAGACATAAATATGTTTGTTTGTAGTTAAGCACAAAGCTACACATAGAGCTATCGAAACCCGGTTTCTAGCGTTGTAAGTCCGCAGACACTCCGCTGGTGGGGGCTCATAAATATGCTTTCAAGATAAAATATATTCCTTTTTGTTTAATACTTCTAGTGGAAGTGCATTTTATGTAATTGAAACTCCGGAGTTTTAACCCATTAGGAGTGGACCATCTTCAGGCATTGTATGAAAAACAACAATTACAATATCGAAGTTTTATTTGCATAAGAAAAATTTACTATAAAGTTGTTCACAATATTAAATTTAATCACCCAGAAGAATCTTATTCTCTTAATACTCATTGAAATATGTTATTTTACCTTATGATTCTACTGTTCCTTTTCTAAAATTATTTGTTTGTTGTTATTGTTGGATTTCGTGCCAAGCTAGAGTACTACTTATAAATATAGACTAGAGGGAAAGCAGCTAATTAACACCATCCACCGTCAACTCTTGGGCTCTTTTTTTCAGACCGAATAGTGGGATTTAACCGACATTGTTATAACGTACCCATGGTCCCAAAGTGAAAAGGGGAATTTTTATTATTTTCTTCTTTGGTAAAGGGACGAGAACCGTGGAACATCAGTTTTACAGACCTATTTTCCAAAATTCAACCTAGTGTTTTAAAAATGCATAATCCTTAAAATGATTAAAGTTATTTATAAGTTAGGCCTAACTGCTCAGTTAACAACAACCAAACAAAAATTTTTCTCTTGGCTATTTGTTGTTAAGTTATGTGTTGTGTCTACCACGAGTATCGAGACATGGTTTTTTGCGGTGTGAGCCTGCAGACTTGCCGCTGAGCCACTTGGGAGCAAAGTTGGTTTGTTTTAGAATAAAGCCACATTGTACTTTGGCCACCACGGGAATCGAACTCCGGATTTGGGCATTGCAAATCCGTAAACTTACTACTGTCCCGTCAGACAAAGGTGTGGTGTTAGTTTACAGTTTGTTAGTACTGTTGTAAGTAAACAATAACTAAAAGGTTCCATTATGAGTGCAAATTAATTTTAATTTAATCAATTAATTCAAGAAGTTGTATATAGTTATCATACAAAGAAGGTAGATTACTAGGAACAGAACAACATCTGACTTGGTCTAACCAGTTATTACAACGAGAGATAACACGGGAAAGTTAGTTAACAAACATTGAGAGTTTTTAGACGTAGTTCATTAAATTATCTGTTTTGGTGTTCATTGATGTACAGAAGCTAGATATGGCGCTTTAAATCCTCCATTTTTATGGTTATTCCTATACACATTTGAGTGACTAAAGGGGATACCAGTAAGAATCAATCCTGATAAAAAAAAAGTTCTGTTAAAACGTGTAATTTTATACAAAGTTTGCTTTAAAATATTTGAGAGAAACATTATAGGTGAATAGGGTTATTATAACTGTAAATCCTGTAGGAAAAGTTTTAAAACAAACCCTGGAATAAATCAGTCTTAATCTGAACGAAACTTAAATTATCTGTTATGCAGAAAAGTCCGTTACATGAATATTGGAAGAAAAGAGTCTGGACCTAAAAGTGTGCATTAGTTGTTTAGACAGAAAGAAGGATCACTGACCTGGTTCACCAGATTATATATAAAGTTGTTGGACAACCTTAAATCACACAAGGAAGTTGAGTGTAGCGCAGTGAGAATCCATTCTGTGAATATTTGTTATTCATGGTTGTGTTCGCATCGCTCTTCACTAATAGCAGAAATGGCCTGGCTTTAGCTAAACAAAAAAAAAGAAAAAAAAGAATAAAATATTCAGATAAATGAAACCTTAAGGATTTGAGTCTATATTGAAATTCTATGTAACATGCTTGTTGAAAATGCTTATAAGTGACACTAATGAAATTGACGTGTAAAAGGAAGTTTTCTTAACAGTAGAAAATTATTATTTCAGAATGTTCTGTTATAAATAAATGATTGATGGTTACTTTATAATTTGTAACTATTTGAAACATTATAACAATTTATTTAAAAGATAATATTGTAATTTCTATATTTTGTTTAAAGTACTTGAAAGTTTAACTTTTAAGTATTTTCTAATTAATATTAGCTTTTGATCAGAGCAAGTCTAATTAATATTAACTTTTGATCAGTGCAAGATATGTACTTAGAGTGAAATTAAAAATTAACACGACAATCAATACAGCTAAGTATACTTCTTTTAAGTTTCTATTTAAAAACGTTGTGCTGTATTCATTACGACTATCGAAACCTGGTTCTTTCTAGCGTTATATGCCTTCAAACTAACTTCTGAGCCACTTGGAGGCAACTTATAAACATTAGAACTCATTGTTTCATCAGTTGGATACTCTCGTTGTTGAAAGTATTTTAGACCTTAATCCTAATAATATCTCACGAGGTTCAGCCAGCTTAGAAAAGTAGGTTATTTATAAATACTTATATTAAGCTAATAATGCAAAAAATCTCTATAATAACTTAGAAACAAGAAATAAATTAATACTTATGGATTCACGATTCATAGTAAACAATTAAGGTTTGATTATTTTCTTGGTAAAACAGGCGCTACTGATAAGATATACAACAAGCTTCGTTCTGCAGGGAAAAAAAATACCGTAGTTATGTTTTCTTTTTGCTGCTTTTCCAATAAAATAGATCAGTGATCTATCATAATGCGCATACATACATAGAGGAAAATATATCTTACTGGAGTCTTTAATGCATTAGACTTGATATTAATAATATTGGTAGTAATAACCCAGATTCTGAAATCATATTCGTCATGGGTATCAGTCATTTTGTGAGTTTAACCAATACTAGTATTGACACCGAACTTTTACCATCAGATAACTGGAATTAGAAATTTCAACCGCAATGGTACCTTATGCCCTTTATTGTATTAAATAGCTAGGTCAAAGACCCCTAAAATTCAAATATAGCTTTGTCTTCTTTTGAAATATTGACAAAAAGGAAGACAACTAGAAAGCACTCGTCGCCACAAGGGACTATATTCAGTTCTTTGAACTGCATATAACGGGATTGACAGTCATATTTATAACGTGCCATTGTTCAAAGCGTGGAACGTTTTGAAAGGCATTTAGTCTGGAACACTGGACCCTTCAACCCGCAGCCCAATAATCTAACCACTAGAGTGTCTAGACCAATACGGCTTACCCCGAGATAATGGAAATTCTTCTTGTTTCATTTTCCATGAGAAGGATTCTGGTTTTATTAATTTCTTTATATGCATATATATATATATCGAAGCAACAAGATATCTGAACATTTAAATAAATATTTTATCCTTGGACCAAATATTTCAAGTAATTTGATAACTAAAAAAAAGACATAACTTGTTCTTAGTGACAAATAAACACAAATTACCTCTAATGAATTTGCTCTGAATCATGGTTTAATATTATTGGAAATTGGTGTATTGACTAAAGCAAACGAATTTTCCTAATGGAGTACATTTTTTTCTCCTTTTTTTTTAAACATGCGTTGTATTTTAGGATGACAAAATTGAATGGTTGAGGTAAGCCTATCAGTTCAATTCTTCTAAGTTTTAATTCCTTTTTAGTCCTTGCACACAAACACACAAAATACTCAATAATATAATATTCCGAATTTTAGAGCATTTATTGAAAATTTCTCACTTCATCAACATCGTGTTTCATTTTTCACTTTATTATTTATCACAAAGTCTAATAAGGTACTATAATTTATGGATTGTTTTCTGAATTTGTTTAACTAGTCTTTCATTTATTCTTTCTTCATTTGCTGAATCGATTTGTTTTTCCAAACATTACTTATTTTTAGAATCATATTTATGTCTGTTTATTTGTAATTAAACGCAAAACTATACAATGGGCTATCTATGCTCTGGCCACCAAGAGTATTGAAACCCAATTTTATTATGAAATGTAAAAACGTTTTATATTAAAATTTATGGCAGAGATTTCGCGTAAAATAAAATTAAGTAAGTACAAAGATAAAAATAAGAATTTTTAAAATGGCAAACATAAATATAATTTGAAGAAATATAAAGAAATAAATAGTAGGCCAATAGATTATTTCCTTTAAATATATATAGTTAAGTTATTCGATTAAATTTAGTTGTTGTTCTTTATCTATAATTTATCATTTGATCAATTTTATCACATGAGTACTTGAGCTTTCTATAGTTTTTCTGATTATATGTTCCTGTTGCGATAGTGACATATCTTATCATAGTGAGGCTTGTGATGTACACGTCCAAAACTCGGATCTCGGAAACTACCGCACCGATCATCAACAAACATAACTGGGTAATATTTTTATAAGTAGGCTGTATTTCTATAGCTGAGAACTAAATAAAACAGTTGAAATTTCCATAACAATGATATGTTTCAGATTTAATCAATAATAATTACAAAGAAAAAGAATTAAGTTTCAGATTTAACCAATAAAAATTACAGAAAAGGAGTAATTCTTAAATATAAAACAATCAAAAAACAAACTTAGAAAATTATTTGTATTTCTTTAGTGAAAATCTCATGAGTGTTGCAACAGAAAGGCAAGGCACTTTTATTGATAACTGCATCTACAAAGAAATACTTCAATAAAATCTAATCTGTGATATAATGCTGTGACGATAGCTCATTTTAAAACTAAATTTCAATAAAATTCCTTTTCTCATAGATGGCGAACATTATTGAATGTCAAATATGAGTACATTGTTGTAGAACCGTCAGACAATTCCAGAAAAGGCTGCAGGCCCAAGAGCCTTCCTAACGGAGAGCGAGTATTTCTGCTAGTGTATTTAATTCTGCTTGATGCCTTATTAAAACAAGTTATAACATTTTGTCATTACTTTTAACAGTTAACTGAGCAACTTCGAACATGAATACTAATATTTAAATAAATACTTTCATTTTATTCCATGGATTGTTTGTTTGTTTGAAGTTTAGCACAAAGCAACACAATAGACTATCTGTGCTCTGCCCATCACGGGTATCGAAACCCGGATTCTAACGTTGTAAGTCCGCAGACATACCGCTGTGCCACTGGGGGGCTTTTTTTCCATATAACTTTCTAAACTCTTATTCTTTAATATACTTTTCATTTAAAATAAAAAGTTACTGCAAACAACTGTACGAAAATATGCAAAATCAGATAAATTGAAGTAAATATAAAGATTGCAGATTACCTTAAAGAATTACTTGCAAAATGGAGTTAAATAACAAAGTTAAATCAGCGCTGTATAAAAGTTCTTTAGAAACAAAATTATTACAAAAGTGCAATCAATATATAAAATTTATTTTTACGGATATTTGTCAAAGCACAATTCATTACCAATGTTTGATTGTTAAAATTTGTTTTAGAACAGTTTGATCAATTGATGTTTTATAATAAACAATAGCAGCTCAGTTTTTGTAACAGCGTTTCTTCACACGAATAGAAGTTATACAAGCGATAAAAATGTTAGCTCACTCAAATTCAAAATATCACAGTAACATAATTTTCTTCACATCTTCATATTCCTGAGGCTTCTACAACCCAGGTAACAAGTTAGATTGAGTTTTTAATAAAGCATGAAATGATATTTTAAGATTACTAATTCCACTTGTTAAATCTGGTGTTCAGAAACAGTCGATAAAATTGTAACTATTTTAAAGCTAGTATAAAAAGATTAGTATTTCTAGAAACAAGAAAAAATGTAGATTGGAAGTATTAAAAACCTTTAAGTAAAAAACTACCAGCAATTTAATTTTGAAATTTAAAATTTCATGATTATAAAAATAGTAATTACCTTAGTTTAAACTTAAATTAACTGATGTTTTACATAAATGTTGTTTTTTATTTGTGTGTGTAATATTTAGAAGCCACTTACTTAAATTGATAATATACTTCAAATAGTTATAATTCACCATGTAGGATCCTTGTAATTAAACAAAATAAATAATTTGAGTGATAAATATTTCAATAGTAACTATTTATAGACTGATAGTGGAAAATGCTAAGATAAGTGCAACATTAGATAGTAACGTTATGGAAAAGAAAAGAAAATGTTAGTAGATAATATAAAGTGGATCTAATAATTACCATTTGTTTTATTCACCTTGATTGCAAAATTTTAACGGTTAAACAACAGTATACCAGATTGTGAGTTATCAACAATACATTCTCTGAAATAAATACTAAAACAAAGAAAAGAAACAAACAATATAAATTGGTAACATACAGACGTAAACTTTAGCGCCAAAATCATAAAACGAACGAACAGTGATAAAGAGAGAGAAATTAAATTTGTAGTGCTAATACAAAGCATAAAAATAATATATTTAAAAGTACACAATATCTTGAGCAGTACCAAATGAAACGGGAAACGTATGGCAATAAAGATAAGAATACATACTTGTATTAACATACGCATAAGTTGTGTTGTAAAAGTAATGACAGAAATATGAAGTAATTGAAACAAACAAACAAAAATTTATGAAAGTACCCGTAAGAATAAAACATAATGTAATAATAGAAATATAAAAAGTACTAAAACAAAATAAAAAAGGAAATATAGTACGGCTACGTAGAGAAAAATGGTAATAATATTGTCAAAATATAGTACGGCTACGTAGAGAAAAATGGTAATAATATTGTCAAAATATAGTACAGCTACGTAGAGAAAAATGGTAATAATATTATCAAAATATAGTACAGCTACGTAGAGAAAAATGGTAAGAATATTATCAAAAAGTCAAAATTCGAAATATTAACATCAATAACATTAATTCGCTTGATATTAAAAATCAAACACTTTTAAAAAGTTACATTTCAAAGCAAAATAATAACAATCACAAAAGCACGAAAAAATATATTGCAATTAACAACGCCATTGTACTAAAATATTTGCTTACTTATAATGACATTGTTGTCAATAAGCTTTACTCCACAAAATCTGTCCTCCCCAACAGTCAGTCCATTAGATGACCCTTGAGAGATACAAATAAAATCGTCGTTGTTGCAATCTGAGCCTTTACTCCCACCGGTTGGAGGTAAGCCCCACGAGAAGGAGTTCGGCGTCTCTGTTTCCCACTTAATAGCACAAAAGTTTTCTTCTACTCGGGTACAAACAGTGTATCTCAGGTTACTCAGGTAACGAACTTGACCATTTATCTTTGGCCCCCAGTTGAAGCTACGAACTAAATCATTAGACTTTCGATGGTACTGTAGACAACCAGGAGGAGCTGTACATTCAAAAATTGACACTTTTAGTAACAGGCCTTCGTGATATTAATTGAATATGTAAATAAAAGCAAGTTGAAAAACTTTACGACTAAATTTACCATTTTTAGACATAAGATATATAATTTAACACTGGATAATTACAATTATGTAAATTAGTTTTTGAAAAGCCATTTCATTTTTGTGGAAATATTTGCAATTATTGTAACAGTGCATTACTGCAATTAAAAAAAAGCAATAAAGAGCTTGGGTCAGTATCAGTTTTTATAAGTTTAGTTGGAATGTAACTTTAAAAATACTCATAATGAGATTTTGTTGAATAATTTGTAGCTTAAACTATTTTACCTCAACATTCAATATACAATGCTTCGCTAATATGAATAACCACATATTAAACATCAAACCGAAATCAGGACGATAAACGAACTTTCGTGAATAATCCCCTTAAACACTATGAAAATATATTAATTAACATTTAGGTATTTTGTAATTACGCTGTTTTACAGTCTTTATCATTCAATATTTTTTTATGTTTTTCCTTTTCAATTTTCAAGTTCATTGTATTTATTATCAAATTAAAAAAATAAATGAATCAGCTTTTCGAGCGGTTTATTTGCTTGATGCATTTTTTTACGTTTGTTTATTGTGTCCTAAGTATTTTCTTCGTGCTTTATGTAGTATGTATTCTTCTTTTTTTACGTTTGTTTATTGTGTCCTAAGTATTTTCTTCATGCTTTATATCGTGTGTATTATTGTATTTTTTTACAACTTATCATAATAACTGTTGAATTTTTAGCATCGCTTTTTAATCTCAATATGTAACGTTCAGAATGTTAATGGTCACCTGATTAGTCAATTGATTTTCTATAATATGTTATGTGTATTTGTTAAACATACACGTATTGCCTCTGTAGTGGAGTCCGGCATGGCCAGGTGGTTATGGGTCGCGGGTTCGTATTCCCATCTCAACAAATATGTTTGCCCTTTCAGCCGTGGGGGTGCTATAATGTGACGGTCAATCTCACTATTCGTTGGTAAAAGAGTAGCCCAAAAGTTGGCGGTGGGTGGTGACGACTAGCTGCATTCCCTCTAGTCTTTCATTGCTAAATTAGGGACAGCTAGCGCAGCTCGCCCTTGTGTAGCGTTTTGCAAAATTCATAACAAACCAAGCCTCTGTAGTACCAGGTTTCACTGGTTTAACTAACAAACAGAAATACGATTCCTTAGCGGCTGCATCCAAATCTATAAGATCACTTAGTTACATCTATAAGAATACACGATTGTGTTTATTAGAATATCCAAACAATTTTATGCGTGTTTAAGAAATAATCCAAGACATTTTACACCAAAAGTTGTATGGAGATAACTGCGCCAATAAGTACGGTGCTAAGCCCACACTAGAGAAGTCAAAAGTTACACTGTTTATATCAGTGAAACATAATTCACTATACCCAAGAACAAAATCTGTCTGAATCTTATACTTTATTTTTCAAATCTCCAAATTTATTTTTAGATCAGTTAATTATTTTTAAACTCCGCCATAGCCTGGTCCCAAGTCCAGGATGAGAAAGGAGTAGGGTTGGGCGCGGGGCTAGCAACTCCACCCCGTAAAAAACAATCTGCTACAGAAACTGCAACAACAACTTCATCCCAGCAGCTGCCTGGACGGGAAGACTCCTCTTCGGCGCGGCCCATGACGC